GATGGAGACTCGATTCGTCACCTAGTCTGGAGTGCAATGGCATGATCTTGGCTCACTGTAACCTCTGCTTCCTCGGTTCAAGCGATTCTCCTGCCTCAGCCTCCTGAGTAGCTGGAATTACAGGCATATACCATCACACCTGGCTAATTTCGTATTTTTAATAGGAATGGGTTTTCACCATGTTGGCCAGGCTGGTCTTGAACTCCTGACCTGAAATCATCCATCTACCTTGGCCTCCCAAAGTGCCAGTTTTTTGTTTTTTTTATAATAGTCATTTTGATAATTCTACTATTGCTTGTCTTTTGGGGTTTTTTTTACTGTCTCTTTGGGTTTTGTTTCCTTGTGCACCCAGTTATTTTTGAAAATGTTCTAGGCAGATTTGCCTTGATTGATAAATGCCCTTCATGTTCCAATTACTTTTTTTTTTTGAGACAGGATCTCATGCTGTCACCCAAGTTGGAATGCAGTGGCATGATCTCGGCTTATTGCAACCTCCACCTCCTGAGTTCAAGTGATTCTCCTGCCTCAGCCTCCCGGGTAGCTGGGATTACAGGCACCTGCCACCATGCCTGGCTAATTTTTGTATTTGTTTGTTGGTTTGTCTTTGTTTTTGGTTTTTGTGAGATGGAGTTTTGCTCTTGTCACCCAGGCTGGGGTTCAATGGTGCGACCTTGGCCCACTGCAACCTCCGTCTCCCAGGTTCCAATGATTCTCCTGCCTCAGCTTCCTGAGTAGCTGGGACTACAGGTGCCTGCCACCATGCCCGGCTAGTTTTTTTGTATTTTTAGTAGAGACGGGGTTTCACCATGTTAGCCAGGCTAATTTTTGTAGTTGAGACTGGGTTTCATCATGTTAGCTAGGCTGGTCTTGAACTTCTGACCTCAAGTGATCCACCCTTCGTGGCCTCCCAAAGTTCTGGGTTTACAGGCACAAGCCACCTTGCCCAGCCCCAGTTACTTTTTTTGTTGTTGTTGAGATGGAGTTTCACTGTGTCACCCAGGCTGGAGTGTAGTGGCATGATCTTAGCTCACAGCAGCTTTCCGGGTTCAAGAAATTCTCCTGTCTTAGCCTCTCAAGTAGCTGGGACTATAGGTGCACACCACCACATCTGGCTCATATTTGTATTTTTAGTAGAGGCAGGGTTTTACCATATTGGTCAGGTTGATTGTGAACTCCTGACCTGAGGTGACTGCCCGCCACAGCCTCCCAAAGTGCTGGGATTACAGGCGTGAACCACCACATCTGGCCTATGTAGATGTTGTATTAGTGATAATTCCTGTTATCCTGTGAGCTCTTTAGTGTCTAAACAATTTTTCTTTAAGAGACAGGGTCTCAGGTACAATAATAACTTACTACAGCCTGGGTCAAGTGATCCTCTTCCCTCAGTCTCCCAAGTAGCTAAGACTACAGGTCTGTGCCACCACACCTGGCTAGATTTTTACATTTTTTATAGAGATGGGGGTCTCACTGTGTTGCCCAGACTGGTCTTGAACTCCTGTCCCCAATTGATCCTGCTACCGCAGCCTCCCAAAATGCTGGATTACAGGCATGAGCCACCGTGCCTGGTCTTAAACAATTTTTAAATAACATTTTATCCAACATTTTAGTTAATTTTCAACAGGTGGATTAGTTCTTACTGTATTCCGGTAAACAGAAGTCCTGGTTTATTTTTATTTATTTTCAACATTGAATTCCATACTCCTCCCCACCTTACCCCACCCAGGATTTAGACTGTTAATGTTTTGAAGTCAGAGCCTGCATTTTAATCACTATTTTATCTTAGTGCCTGGTCTTAGAAAATTATATTGACTGTTTGCCATTGATAAGGCAGGTGGATGAGAGGATGGGTAGCTAGTTGGAAAAGGCAGCTTGGTCATTTGCCTGATTATCTTCCCACACAGTTTTTCCTTTACTAAGAGAAAATGCCCCAATATTGGCAGACAAAATTTCCCTGCCTGAGAGTGCCCAGAGTATAGCAGAGCATCTTACCCTGACATCCCTCTTTTCACTTCCTTCTCTATGGAGACAGAAGGAGCTTCAAGAGCAGGGGGAGATCAGAATCGTCCAGCTGGGCTTCGACTTGGATGCCCATGGAATTATCTTCACTGAGGACTACAGGACCAGAGTATGTGACTGTGTGTGTCAGGGGTGCCAGGGGCAGGGCACGGGTTGGGGGAGACAGGGAAGTTGGGAAACAGAAATAAAAACAAAAGAAAGAATTTCCCTGCCCCCACATCCCATGGAGAGGGCACAGGGCCCTGGTAAGTAGTGAGGGAGAGAGACAGGAGGGAAAGAGGGAGGAGTGAGAGAGGGAAGAGTGGGGAGGGAGATGGGAGAGGAGGGGGAGGAGAAGAAGGAGTAGGAGGAAGAGGAAGAAGAAAGTTATGAGAGGTGGAAGGATCTGAGTAAGAGGGAAGGCGGGAAGAGAAATGCTATCTCGGGGGTGGAGGTTGGTGGAGAGTGAGGGTGGGGACGGACCATGTCTCCCATCTCTGCTTCTAGGTCCTCAAGGCCTGTGATGGCCGACCGTATGCTGGGGCAGTGCAGAAATTTCTAGCTTCAGTACTTCCGGCCTGTGGGGACCTTAGTTTCCAGCAGGAACAAATGACACAGACCTTTGGCTTCAGGGACTCAGAAATCACGTGAGACTTGTGGAACCAACAAAGTCAGGCATCTGGCGCCTCCCTGCCTCCCCCCAGTTCATCCAGCCTGTCCTGTGTTTTCTTGGTGAACCTGCCAAAAAAGCTGTCAAAAGGCTGATTCTTCTTTTTAATAAAATGGCCCAAGTTTGTGTTCCTCCCCACAAGAGAGGAGGCCTGTCTCACCTGGGGCCTTAGAAACAGCCCTGGAATAGAATTCAGTTCTGGGTGGCTTATCAAAAGCACACAGGGGCCTGGCAGGAACCATGAACACTTGATGTTAATCATACTGGGACTAAGAGGATAGAGAATGGTAGGAGTTGGGATACCCCTAAACATTCACATTAAAACATAAAACCCCCAAAGCTAAAAAACAACTGGGCAGGAGCTAAATAAAAATATAATTTTCAGAGGCTGCATCTGTCTCAGGCCTCCTACTTTGTAACCTATGGAATAAGTGGAAGCATTTGAAGAACTGTAGCACTGATCTCACATGGGCAGACACACTCTCAGGGAGATGTGGTGGGAGCCGTGGCGTTCTCTGCCACGAGTCCCCTTCCAGGACTTTATTGTGGGCCTGGAGGAGGTGGCGGGAGCGCAGCGCGGAAGACCCTGATTTCTCTCCTCGGTCCTAAGACTGAGTGTGTGTCAGGGTATGTGCTCAGGGAAGAGAAGCTATTTAAATGAACAAGTAGTAGCAGCAGGAAAAGAAAGAGTGGAGGAAGGGCAGTCCAGGTCAGGGGTCTGGAACAAGCAACTGCACCACTGAGGCAGCTGGTGCGAGCAGAGAACCGCCTCGGGTAGGGGTTTTGTTCTCCAGTCTCTCTTGTATGGTTACCCATGTTTCTGGAGACTTGTATAAACATTAACGGATGAGGAGGAGAGGTGGTTCTCAGAGCCCAGGCCTCATCTCTGCTGGCTTCCCACTGCCCTCAGGCATCTGGTGAATGCTGGAGTCCTCACTGTCCGAGATGCTGGGAGCTGGTGGCTAGCTGTGCCTGGAGCTGGGAGATTCATCAAGTACTTTGTTAAAGGTATCCCATCTGCAGCTCAAGCCTGTAGCCCCTTACCTTTTGGTGGCTCCTCAGACCTCTAGGCCTTATTCACCTTTCCCCTCTCCTGTGCCACTTCTCCTTCAGGGCGCCAGGCTGTCCTTGGCATGGTCCGGAAGGCCAAGTACCGGGAGCTGCTCCTATCAGAGCTCCTGGGCCGGCGTGCACCTGCCGTGGTGCGGCTTGGCCTCACCTACCATGTACACGACCTCATTGGGGCCCAGCTAGTGGACTGGTGAGTCTTTCCCTGGCCTCTGGCAGATGACAGAGCAATGACCCAAGGTTGGATTTCCTCCCAGCTCACCCTTAATTCCCTAGTGAAGGCCAGGGGCTCTCTGGAACCGGGGAGCACCCCTTCCCAAGTTCTGTGTTCCCCTCACAACTTGGGCCTAGGCACCTGGCTCCAGCCTTGTTTTTCTCTTGCACAGCATTTCTACCACTTCTGGAACCCTCCTCCGCCTGCCAGAGACATGAAGATTCTGCTTATCATTGCTCAGCTCCCCAGAGTGGGCCGGGAGGGGACTGGAAGAGCTGCATGATGGTGGCTGAGACAGGGTCACCTTGGGAAGGCTTGGGAGCCAGGATGAATGTTGGGCTTTCATTTGTACAAAGGGTCAGATGTGACTGCTGCTGTTTGCCTGGGCTCTGACCCAGTGGTGGGGCTTGAGCAATGCTTCTCTGCCCTTCCATGGAAGGTGAAACCAGAAATGGTGCCGAGGCTGTGGCTCTTCCCTTTCATGTAAAATGGTGCTGTTATTACTCTGTGTTGAAATAGAAAGGTGGGATTTCTGGGGAGGTGAAGGAGGGCAGGGTTTTTTTCCCTACATGTCATGTTAAAATTGCCAAATAAAGTACCTCTGCCTGTGATATTTTCTGGATGCCCTTTATTCACTGTGACGTGTGTGTTTGGGTGCCTCGTTTAGGGGTAGAGGTGAAGTCTGAGTTTTGCCTTGTTGTTCAGAGAGGAAAGGGGTTAGGGGTTCACTTTGACATTCAGACCATTCTCCCTGTGGAGTAGGGAGGGTGCACCTAATCTCCTAAACCACAGAATTTCTGTTAGGGCCTACAAAAAACAAAAGCCTAGTATAGTTCAGTTTGTGTTGGAAGGAAAGTAAGAGACAAGTGTCTTAGAAGCCTGTCATTGTTTTGTGAGGGCCTTTAAAAATTCTGTACTTGTGAGCCATGTTGGGCCCTTGTATGGCCACGTAACATGGGATTGTGTGCACCTTATACCCTGATGCAGATATACCTGGTAGCGGGAGGTGCACAGGCACTGGAATGAGAGGGGTTAACAGGAAAGGACAGGTTGATTTCTGGGCCAAGATTCTCTCAGAGGTTCTCTGGGAGACCCAGGTGTCCCGGGCGCTCCCACAATACTGGGCCTGAAGCCAGTTGCATTTCTCGGCTGTCACGTGGTTTCCCAGCTTAGCTGGGCTAGGGGAGGAGCAAGGTCCAGAGTTAACTCTGTCCCAAGCCCTAGCTTGGCCAGAAGGTAGCAGACAGACAGACGAATCTAACCCCTCTTGGATCCTCCAGCCATGAGGCTCCTCTGGGGGCTGATCTGGGCATCCAGCTTCTTCACCTTATCTCTTCAGAAGCCCAGGTCCTGAAGGCGGGATGCTGGTTGCTTGGATTGGACAGGGCGGCAACGGGACCCAATTCAGCAGTGAGGGTGAGCAGGGGTGGAGGGGTTAGAGTGAAGTCTGACTGCTGATCCTGCCTGTTCTCCCCAGGTTGCTTCTGTTCTCTCCTTCTGTGGTTCATCTGGGGGTCCCCCTATCGGTGGGGGTGCAGCTCCAGGATGTGCCCCAAGGACAGGTAGTGACAGGATCAGTGTTTCTGAGAAACCCATCTCGTAATAATGCCCCCTGCTCCCCAAAAGTGGACTTCACCCTTACCTCAGAAAAAAAAGTCGCACTCCTCAGTATCCAGGTAACTGAACCCCACACCCTCCTGCTGCTTCTGGGGGCCTCCCGTCTGGTTCCCCTCTGTCTTGTAAGTGTCTTCATCTTCCCACTGGCTTCCTCCCCTCCTGTCTTCCCACCCTGGCATTCTCCTTCCATGTTTCTCCCTTGGTCTCTGTCCTTTTCTGCCAGCTCTTTCTCGCTCTGTGACCCACTCCCTCTCCCTCTCCTGACAGGTGCCCAGGAAAGATGTGAAGAGCTGTGGCCTCCATCAACTCCTCAGAGGCCCTGAGGTCCAGCTGGTGGCCCAGTCGTCATGGCTAAAGGACTCCCTGTCCAAACAGACAAACACCCAGGGTGTCAACCTGCTGTTCTCTTTTCGACGGGGGCACCTCTTTTTGCAGACAGACCAGCCCATTTACAACCCTGGCCAGCGGGGTGAGTCTCAGCTCCAGGGCCTCAAACTTTAACCCCCTCCAAGCTCTCTCAGGACGTGTTTGGTGGTCCCTAAGTGAGATAACATGAAAGAAAGTACCACATGTAGGGCTGCTTAGGAAATATTTGTCCCCTGCTCCCTCCGTGGAGTTGGATCCACCCTCCCCTTGCACATGGAACCCTGCTCACCTCTCTCGTCCTCCACTCTCAGTTCGGTACCGGGTCTTTGCTCTGGATCAAAAGATGCGCCCGAGCACTGATGCCATCACAGTCACAGTGGAGGTGAGTCCCTGACCTCTGGCCTTCTGCCCCTGGCCACTGCTGTGACCTCCCGCCTGTGACCACTTCTCCCCTTGCAGAACTCTCACGGCCTCCGCGTGCGGAAGAAGGAGGTGTACTTGCCGTCATCCATCTTCCAGGATGACTTTGTGATCCCCGACATCTCACAGTGAGCTCTCCCAATCTGGGGGCTGTCCCCAAGCTATACCACCTCAATTCCTGTTAGGCTCTCCGCCTCCCAGCAGAGGCACATCCCGAGATGCCCTGGCCCTCAGCCTCCTGAGCCTCTGGTTAACCCCCACAGTCCTCTTCCCAGGGAAGCAGACCACTGGCTCTCCATGCCCCACTGCACAGGTGGTGAGTCCCTTTCTTGTCCATTCTCAGGCCAGGGACCTGGAAGATCTCAGCCCGATTCTCAGATAGCCTGGAATCCAACAGCAGCACCCAGTTTGAGGTGAAGAAATATGGTGAGAGCTGGAAACGTGAGGGACAGGCAGCTGCTTTCCTGAAGGAAATAAGGGTGGAAGGAAAGGTAGTGGGAGAAGCTCAGGGCAGGGAGATATGGGTGCCATAGCCCTGAGTGGAGGAGAGCCTTTGAACTGGAGTCTGACCTGCCTACTCCTTCACCCTGGGTCAGTCCTTCCCAACTTTGAGGTGAAGATCACCCCTGGAAAGCCCTACATCCTGACAGTGCCAGACCATCTTGATGAAATCCAGCTAGACATCCAGGCCAGGTAACACCTCCCTCCCCACCTCTGCCCACCAGCGCAGGGTCCTGCTCCCTACTCAGTATGAATAGGCACCTGCTTCCCTGCCCTCAGGCCATCATTCCCCCCAGCCCTTGGCCCACCCTCTTCTTCCTGCCACGACAGGTACATCTATGGGAAGCCAGTGCAGGGGGTGGCATATGTGCGCTTTGGGCTCCTGGATGAGGATGGTAAGAAGACTTTCCTTCGGGGGCTGGAGAGTCAGACCAAGGTAGGAAGGAGGATAGGGGCTGGGTAGGGGAAGGGGCAAGGCAGGTGAGGTGGGAGACTTAGTCTCACCCTATGTTCTGTTTCTTTCTGTGCCCCAGCTGGTGAATGGACAGATCCACATTTCCCTCTCAAAGCCAGAGTTCCAGGATGCCCTGAAGAAGCTAAATATGAGCATTACTGACCTCCAGGGGCTGCGTCTCTACGTTGCCGCAGCCATCATTGAGTCTCCAGGTGGGTGACTTTCCCTTATTGTAACCCCAGATCCAGGCCTCTGACCTCTGAGCTGACCCTCTGTCCTCCAGCACCAACACTACCCCACTTCTCCCACCTCATCTCAGACTCAAAACCAGGAAACACCCTGGAACCCTGGTCCTCTCTCCAACTCTGTCTCTGTGATTCAGCCCTTTTCCCTGGCTCAGTCTATTTGTTTGCTCATTCTGCTCATTCGTTCACTCCTCCAGTGCACATGCATTGTTCACTGTCCTGTGCTGGGCCTCAGATTGCAGAGACAGGAATACGGTGGCCTGCGCCCTGGGAGCTCACTGTCTTGTGGGAGGGAAACGGTCAAGCCACTCCCACTGTCTCTCTCTTCTTGGGCTCTGTCCTCCGCCTCTCTCTGTCCTTTATGTTGCAGGTGGGGAGATGGAGGAGGCAGAGCTCACATCCTGGCGTTTTGTGTCATCCCCCTTCTCTTTGGATCTTAGCAAGACCAAGCGACACCTCGTGCCTGGGGCCCCTTTCCTGCTGCAGGTTTCTTCCAGAGGGGAAGGACAAATCGGGGAGGGTGTGGTAGTCAGGAGGGCTCAGGGTCTGACCACTGTCTTTCACCTGCCCTCCTTTACTTGCCTAGGCCTTGGTCCGTGAGATGTCAGGCTCCCCAGCTTCTGGCATTCCTGTCAAAGTTTCTGCCACGGTGTCTTCTGGGCCTGGTTCTAAAATCCAGGACATCCAACAAAACACAGATGGGAGTGGCCAAGTCAACATTCCCATCATTATCCCTCAAGCTGTCTCAGCACTGCAGCTCTCGGTAGGACTCCTTGGACTCCTAGGAGATGGTGGGGGAAGGGGACGAGGGTGACCTGGGGTCCTGAGGATCCATGGCCTGACTTGGGGGGGAAGGTGGGGTACCTGGCTCTGAGCTACTACCCTACTTGTACCTGCCTCCCTCTCCAGGTATCTGCAGGCTCCCCCTATCCAGCCATAGCCAGGCTCACTGTGGCAGCCCCACCTTCAGGAGGCCCTGGGTTTCTGTCTATTGAGCGGCCGGATCCTCGACCTCCTCGTATTGGGGAAAATCTGAACCTGAACCTTCGAGCTGTGGGCAGTGGGGCCACCTTCTCTCATTACTACTACATGGTGTGCATGAGCCAGGGAGTCAAAGAGGGCTGGGGTGCAAGGAAGAGCCCTCTGGGTGGGATTGGGGGTTCAAGGCTGGGGCTGTCCCATGAAGAGGCAGTCACTCTCATCTCTCCCCTTCTTGCCCAGGTCCTAGCCCGGGGGCAGATCGTGTTAATGAAGCAAGAGCGCAGGAGTGACCTGACCTCAGTCTCCGTGTTTGTGGACCATCACCTGGCACCCTCCTTCTACTTTGTGGCCTTCTACTACCATGGAGACCACCCAGTGGCCAACTCCCTGCGAGTGGACATCCAGGCTGGGGCCTGCGAGGGCAAGGTGACTGGGGTCAGGAGAGATGGCACGTGTGCTGAGGGGTTAAGGACGGGGGGGGCAGTGAGGATGCCGGGACTGAAGGAAGCTGTCCCACTCTGACCACCCCCGCCTCCCGCCTCTGCCAGCTGGAGCTCAGCATGGACGGTGCCAAGGAGTACCGGAATGGGGAGTCCATGAAGCTCCGCTTACAGACTGACTCCCCAGCCCTGGTGGCGCTGGGGGCCTTGGACACAGCTCTGTACGCTGTGGGCAGCAAGACCCACAAGCCCCTCAACATGGGCAAGGTTTGTCCACACCCTCTTCCCAGCCTCCCACCCCTCCACGGCTCATCCCTGCTGCCCTGAGCCCTGGGTGCAGCCCCTGGATCCCACTGAGGCTCCCCACAGCCTCTTCCCCCACTTGGCCCTGCGTGTCTGTCTCCTTGCTCTGTACCCTTTCCTATCCGCCCACACGCTGCCCTCTCACCTGTGCGAGTGCTTGGTCCTGCCCCTCAGCCACGCTTGGCTCTAGCATTCCTGCTTCTTCTTCCCAGGTCTTTGAAGTTATGAATAGCTATGACCTCGGCTGTGGTCCTGGGGGTGGGGACAGTGCCGTTCAGGTGTTCCA